CAACTTTCGTGTCTCAACCCACCAACTTCCGTGTCTCAACCCACCAACTTCCGTGTCTCAACCCACCAACTCTTGTGTCTCAACCCACCAACTCTTGTGTCTCAACCCACCAACTTCCGTGTCTCAACCCACCAACTTCCGTGTCTCAACCCACCAACTTCCGTGTCTCAACCTGGAACGTGTCTGCCCTGTTTCAGGTCCAGCAGCAGCTGGCTCAAACGGGCAGCAGGGCAGTGGTGGCAAGTCTCAAGGACGAGCGCATGGAGGCACGGGATGATTTGGTGTTGAGGGTGGTGGATCTGGCACTGCGTTGCACCGCCAAGCACAGTGCCATGCGGCCGGCCATGGGGGTGATTGCAGCCGAGCTGGAGGCCGTGCTGGTGGTGCTGGGCGGCAATCGTAGCAACTCTGCCGCCCGTCAGGTGGACCAGCAGCTGGAGAAGGGGATGATGGCAGTTTCGGACTTGGATGCAGAGATAGAGCACTTGAATGCGTTGTTTCATGGCAATTAAACTGAGAGTACCATGCAGTGTCAACTTAAATATCATGTTGGTATGTTAGGCTGCAATGAGGTACTCTTTAGAGAGTACGACCCGTTTTGGGTTTCCTATTTGTGTCCCATCTCTTGCTAGTCCACATCATTCCGCTTACACAACTTTGACATGATCCATCAGCACGCCTTTGATCCGATTTGAGGCCCTAATAGTCCTGCCTTCAAGAAAAACGACCGTAAAGCGAGTCAATGAGTATGACAGATTCATATGCAAAACACGATGCATATACCGTGTTAAAAAACAAGCGAGGACTTGCGGACACTGCAGACTGTGGCTCAAGAAACAAAGAATATCTCCAAAAATACAACTTTCGATTAATGGATTATAATTGCTCAGTGTTACCGACTTTACGGGTCTGACCGTTCAGGTTTGGCGAAAAGGCACTGATTGAATTATGATCATCTTCATAACAAACATTACTCTGTAGTTCCTCAGCTTTGTTTGTAGATATATGACAGCATCGCGGTGGCCAATAGCCTGAATTATGCGAACCAGGTTTGGGGGGAATTGTCAAGCCAAAGCTTTCGTTTCGGCATGTCAGATTTCCCTAGTTTGGATTGGTGGCGGGAAACGAAACCCTCGTGTGGATGCCGCCCGAGGCTAGCCGCGAATCATTTGGAATGGTAAGGAGAGCCACAAATTCCGTTTGCGTTCACACAAAACTGCCAGCTTTCAAGGTGTGTGCAGTGCATAAGGTGTGAGCGAGGGAGGTCGTTCGCGGACGGACCTGACTGGTGGTAACCCTGCCCATCTCGCTCCCCTCCGCTCATTTCGCGACACTGTTTCCACCCGTTGACCTCTCCTGACGGCCTCTCCCTCACCACATTCCGGTTTCCCATTCCCATTCCCATCCACCGCTTTCATCGCTCCACACTTCTCTCTGCTGATCCGAGCAACACGGATTTTAGATCGGACCTCACGCCTCGACTGCAGGAAGTAATCGGGCAAGTACCTGGCGTTTCTACTTAGCAGCGTGTTTAGTTAGCCTAACATAATGACGGCTTAGTGCCCTTTCGTCTATGCATTACTGTCGTCGCTTTGAAAGGGTCATGATCCTAGTATTTCGTTAATTTAGACGAGCTCCGCGGCCGTTCAAATCCCAGCGATCCTTACAGAGATGTTTCAGCCTAGTCCTCCGAGTCAGTCTTCTAAGCCAGCGGGAGATCAAGCTGACCCCAGTCACCGATCTTCTCGAGGACCTCTTTTTGAGATTGAGAGTGACACAGTGCAGAAGACCATTCTTGTGACGGGCGGTGCTGGATACATTGGTAGTCATACGTGTGTCGAGCTGTTGGAGGAAGGATTTAGGTATGTTTGTGTTAAAGGAAGGATTCAGAGTTAGAGACTATTGGTTTTTGGGGGCTCTAGTGCTGACATGGTGCTGCTGGGTTTCTGCAGGGTGATAGTTGTCGACAACTTGGCAAACTCGTCGGAAGAAGCAGTGAGAAGAGTTGTTGAACTGGCCAAGGACAAAGGCAGCAATCTGACGTTCCTTAAGGTTTGTGTGTACATTCGATGGACGCTTATCTCAAGCCAGTCGTTTACTCGCATTGCTCACTCAAAGTACTCGTTGCTGTTACAGCTCGATCTTCTCGACAAAGAAGCGGTCGAATCCATCTTTCGCAGCCATCAGTATGTATCACATCCTCCTTCGATTCACAATGCGCGTCCATATGCATGATGGCAACTGAGTTTCTACCGTTTCTTTCCTCAGTGTCGACGCAGTCATTCATTTCGCGGGCCTTAAAGCCGTTGGCGAGAGTGTTAGTCTACCCATGAAATACTATCACAACAACTTGGTTGGGACACTGAACCTGCTCGAAGTCATGGCAGAGCATGATTGCAAAAAGGTACATACTCAGATCCAACGCAGATGGCATTTTGCTTCGATCGTTGTCGTCCTTTAGAGATTCTCAGGTTCTGCTTGTTTCGCTTTACGCAGATAGTATTTTCGTCGTCTGCAACTGTTTATGGTCAACCACATCGAGTGCCTTGTATGGAGGATGACACCCTGCAAACGCTCAACCCTTATGCCAGAACCAAGGTAGGAGTTCTTGCTTCGAGAACGACTTTTAGGATCTTTTACGTGCCTTATCTGACAAACGTTACTTCTGTGCAGTTATTCATTGAGGAGATTTTGAAGGACGTCCAAAAGGCAGATGCAGCATGGCGAATAGTTATCTTGCGATACTTTAACCCTGTTGGTGCTCATCCAAGTGGTAGGATCGGCGAAGACCCGAAAGGCCTTCCTAACAACCTAATGCCATTCCTTCAGCAAGTCGCTGTGGATAGAAGGCCACACCTTATGGTCTTCGGCAACGACTACGAGACGCGAGATGGAACAGGGGTACGGTTCTTTTGAAGCCAATCGCCAGCTCCATCTGTTAGGTTTTCGTCTCACGCTATCGCCATGCACTCTGCAGGTTCGAGACTTCATTCATGTAATGGACCTCGCAACGGGTCACGCAGCTGCTCTTCAAAAGATCTTTCACACTGCGGATATGGGTGCGTTGCTCCCCCCATCAAAGCCCCCTCTCTTCCCTCTCCCATTTCCACCTACTCTCCTGTACCCCACGCTTGCTCCGTTTCCCTCACTGTATCTCCTCCCTCCCGCCTTTCCTCCCCCGTACCACCCACCACCTTCCCACAAACACACGCATGCAAAGTTATGATAACCTCAAGTTCGTAAGATAAGCAAAGCATCAGACGATCGGTTCTGTCATGCTTCCTCTTAGCAAATGGTAGTTCAACCACCCTAAAACCCCCTCGCTCCACTGTTCCCCTTCTACCAGCCCCCTCCACTTTTCACGTCTTCCTCAATCCATGCACTTGTCTCCTTCCCTCCCCCCCCTCCCTCCCTTCTCTCTCTCTCTCTCTCTCTCTCTCTCTCTATCTCTCTCTCTCTCTCTCTCTCTCTCTCTCTCTCACACACACACACACACTCTCTCTCTCTCTCTCTCTCTCTCTCTCTCTCTCACACACACACACACACTCTCTCTCTCTCTCTCTCTCTCTCTCTCTCTCTCTCTCTCTCTCTCTCTCTCTCTCTCTCTCTCTCTCTCTCTCTCTCTCTCCCTTCCCCTTCCACGCAATCTTCAAGTTTATTGGCGTGCTCTGCGTTAATATGGAGATCTTTTATCACTGGACCACCGAATGACTCAAGAGGAGTCCTTCACAATTTCCCCTTTTTGGGCTCCCACAACCTGCTGTATATCTTGGTTGATAATTCTCTGCTCTGTTTCCATTTGTCCTTCATTGCCCTACTCACCTGCTTATGGAGTTATCTGTATAGCACTAAAGGATTTCTCTTTGGTGCCTTTACCCTTATCTCCATCCAGGTTGTGCAATCTACAACCTTGGGAATGGCAAAGGGAGCTCTGTTCTTGAGATGGTGGCGGCTTTTGAGAAGGCGGCTGGCAAGGTAGGTTTCATGTTTCGTTTGGGAAACCCTCAGCCCGGTTGGGATTTAGGAGTCTAACATCAGTTCAAGTGTTTTTCTCACAGAAAATTCCAGTGAAGATTGTGGAACGGAGACCTGGGGATGCTAGCGAGGTTTATGCTTGCACGGTGAAGGCTGCTCGAGAACTCGGTTGGAGGTACTTCTTACATCTCTTACCCACTACGTTTGTTTCTTACTCGCTTCAACTTACTACCCTAGGCAGTTGTTCTATGCAACCCTCTGTCCTTCTTTCCTTTCCACCGTGCAAACGTTCATGGACGTTTCCACTTACAGACCCTCTTGCGACCCCCGTGTTGTTACTGTGCGCATGTAATGGCATTTCAGTGGGCAGTACTCGATCGATGACATGTGCCGGGATCAGTGGAATTGGGCCAGGAATAACCCTTGGGGATACGCTGATGGTCCTTCGCCTTCGGAAGCTCAAGACAGGCCAGCTCAAGGAGCTTCTGATAATACAAATCCAGCACTCACCAAAGAGTCTTCTAACGGTGTTGCCGTAGCAGACAAGCACAAAGAAAAGGTGTCAGTAGACCTATGATGTTCCTGGCTTTTCTAGTTAGAACCCCTCAACCCACCTATACTGGCAATAGGAGTAGGATGTTACCCTCCTATACTGGCTATACCTTGTGGCATGCTTGCATAGTAGTAGCCTAATAAATCTGGTCTGGCTTCTAAATGGCTGGCGTAAAGGCATGAGGGAATATGGAGTCTAATCTCCAGGGTAGCATGCTTATATGGTAGTTGTAACCTTGAAGGTCAAATGCAGGCTCAGATCTCAGCCACTGGTCCTTGAATTACCACCTAGACCATTGTTCTGACACTACTCAATACATCGTCTGATATCTGATATTTTTGTGTAATTGCAAGGTGGTCTTGGTATGACTCAGCACTGTTGTACAACTCAGAAAACCGTAACATCATTGGCCCCTGCTGAACGTACTGTATGGCTTCCCCACCTCCAGCAGCACCCCCGCTGATGTCAACATTTACAGCACTTGCGCAAGTGCCAGATTAGCACCAGATCTGAAAAGAAAACATTACAAGTTACAACACCACTAGTGAATGGCATGGAATCTTAGTCCCTTGCTGTTCAAGGGGCGCGCCGCGAATCTGACAAGAGGTTCGCCTGACAAGAGGCCGTAGGAAAACGCCCTTAGACCTACGGCACGTTTTAGGCTCCAAACCAAACCACTCCCGAGTTGTCTCTTCCCGTACCCTCTCAGCCATCTTCCCATTTTGCCAGGCTTTACCATACTTCCATTCTGCTTTACACCTCATTGCATTTCCAATTGTTGGCCACAACGAGTTTGAAGAGATGTCCTCTCTCTCGCATCTTCAACTACCAGTACCTAGAGCATGAGCGTTTATTGAAGTCAGCAGCCTACACCAAGTTAGACAACCCAGCAGAGAAACATAGCATGGATGAATGGTCCTGAGTTTGTGAGCTTCAAGATCAGCCACCGCAGCACTTTCCAATCAACCATAAATCTTAAGGCCAACATGGTGTTTCACTCACCCGCACACGCACGTTCAATCACTTACCCAAAGACCCACCACCACCACTTCGACCACCAGCACTACTCCCAACCCCACCTCGATTCCCACGCACTCCCGCCCCACCCCTCCCACCCGACCACTCGCCTGCCCCTGCCACACCCCCGCCAACCCCCGCTGCCACCCTCCCTGAGCCTATTCCTCCCGACCCAATCGGCCTTGCCCTGCTGCCAGGCGGACCGGCCCAGCCAGCAGCTGGCACCAGCGATCCGGACCCTCCAACACCTTCCATCACCCCACCCAACCTAGTCGCACCAGGGCTTATCGGCCCTCCACTGCTGCTGCCTCCATTCGCCCTCGCAGACGCAGCACTGGCAGCGGCAGCAGCAGCAGTGTGGGGGTCGGTGTGGAGGGAGGAGGAGGCGACAGAGAGAGTGCGGGTGAAGGAGCTGTCTGTATCAGAGGCCTCATCTCGCTCCATGCGCTCCACTAACGAATCCATTGATGTGAAGAAGTCTCGCCGCACACCAGGCCCTTGCGCTGCTGCTGCGGATGCCGAAGCTGGTGCCGAGGCTGATGCTGATGCCGAGGCTGATGCCGAAGCTCGTGGCGACGGTGACGGTGACAAGCGGCTGCGATCGGCAGCAGCGCCACTGCTGCTGCCTGTGCCTCCTCCTGTTGCTACTTCCGGTGTCGTCTTGCGCCGTGCTCTCTGCTGCTGCTGCGATTGGAGATGTGATGTGGATGCCATGGGCTGGGAGGCAGTCCTACGAGCGTGCCCAGGCCCCACACTATTCCCTGCACCACCTGCACCACCACCCGCACCCGCACCGGCTGTGCTTCTCCCTGGTGTTGTGCTTCGCCTGCTGCTGCTCGTGCCAGCAGCAGCAGCAGCAGAGGAGGCAGTGGCGCCTCTAAGTCCCTTGGAGTCTGCACCTCCCCGTGCACCGCTGTTACCCGAGCCAGTGGCGCCTGAGGTGCGGTGCAGAGCGGTGCCAGTGCCAGTGGCAGTGGTACCAGGGCTGGCTGCACCACGCACGGCAGCACGGCCTGTGGCGGTGGTTTGAGGAGCTGCAGGGGAGGCAGACGCAGGAGAGGAGGCATCAGGGAAGAGAATTCGAGATGTGGGTGATGCTGCTCTCTGCCTCCCCTGCTGCTGCTGTGACTGTAGCTGCTGCGGCTGCTGCTGAGACAGCCCCGTGTGGTGAATCAAGATGGACGATCCAGATGCACCCCCACCCCGGGCCTCCCTCTGAGCTGCCAGCGAGGCAAGCAGAGATGACGACCCCATGCCACCTGGCACTGCCAGTGCCATGTCAGCGCCATTCCCTGCTGATGCAGCAGCAGCAGCAGCAGCAGCAGCGGCAGCAGCTGAAGCAGAGAGGGAAGTGGACCCTCCTGTGGGGTGCAGGAGAGAGGCGGCGTCGGCAGCAGCAGGGGACGCTGGGAGAAAGAAGGGCCTCATGTGAGGGTCGTGGGCAAGGGCGGAGGAGGGGAGGATGGAGGAGTGGGTGTAGGGGTGGAGGAAGAAGGGCGAGTTGGGGTTGTTGGGGTTGTGGTGGTGCAGGAGGGGCGATGTTGTGTAAAAGGTTGATGCTCCTGCCGTCTGCTCGTTGCAGATACCAGATGTGGTAACAGGGGAGAATGGCACGAGGGCAGAAATGGGGTGGGCATAGTAAGCGTGAGGAAGGGTCAGCAAGAGAGGTGGCAGCACAAGTGTGGATAATGTTGAGTGATTGCGGGTGGCAGAAGCGAGGTGTGATGAGGATGCATTTGAAAGACAGACGCTAAGCAAAGGAGGACACATGGGATGGGACCCACAGGATACGCGGAACATGCGGGACATGCGGGACATGCGGGACATGCGGAACATGCGGGACATACGGAACATGCGGGACATGCGGAACATGCGGGACATGCGGGACATGCGGGACATGCGGAACATGCGGGACATGCGGAACATGCGGGACATGCGGAACATGCGGGACATGCGGAACATGCGGAACCCTATACAGTGGTGGTAGTGGCAGCAGAGGCGGCAGAGGCGGCAGTGGGGCACTGACCTGCATGAGGCGGTGTGTGGGGTCAAAGGGCGAGTCGGCCGTGGCATCGGTGAAGGACGAGATGGACGGCGACGACACGTTGCCGCCCTCCATGTGCTGCTGCGCTGCTACCAGCCTGCTGCCGGGGTGACACAGGGGCGACATAGAGAAGTTTCGGGATTAACCGGCGACAAGGAGGCATCAGTGAAGGAGGTGATGGGGGACGGTGACACGTTACCGCTCTCCATGTGCTGCTGCGCTACCGGCCTGCTGCCGGGGGACACAGGGGCGCACGCATGGTGAAGAGAGAACATGCAGGGCAGAGGGCAGAGTGCGATAGGGCAGTTGTTGAAAGGCAGACGCTGATGCATGAGCAGTAGACTGAGTGGGAGCAACGGGTTAGGGGTAGCAGGTGACGGGAGGTAGGGAAAACGTGCGGGAGCAGGGGAGAACAAGAGTGATGAAAGGGGAGGCTGCCAGGCGACATATGCTGAAAGGGTTATGTCAAAGAAGGCTAAGGGGGAGAGGAAGGAGAGCAGCAGGCAGTGGAGCATGGGCGAACCACCTACCTGCAGTGTGCAGCATGGGCGCGAGAGGGGGGAACGCACCTGCCGTGGTGCATCTGGTGCTGCAGCATGGAGACAGCGGCCTGCCTCTCCGCCCTCTCCGCCGCCAGCTCCTCCATGAGCGCCATCACCCGCCCGTTCAGACTCGCCACATCCACCGCCGCCACTCCTGCTGCCCCTGCTGCTTCTGCCACCCCCGCTGCTCCGGCTGCCCCCGCTGCTGCTGCTGCTGCTGCTGCCGCCGCTGCTGCTGATGATGGGACCATTGTTCCCAAGCCCGGCGCGGCTGCTGCTGAGAGTGCTGATGATGGTGTTGGTGCCGGTAGTGGCTCATCGCGGGGAGTGTTGGCATCAGAAGAGCACGAAGAGAGTGACGTGGCTGGTGCTGCCGGCACTGATGCAGCGGCACCAGCAGCAGGCATGGCAGCAGCAGCAGCAGAGGGAGGAGCAGAGCCACCCGGGGAAACAGCCACAGCGGGTGCAGACAGAACGGACGGCGACTCGCCTGCACCTCCGCCCGCCACTGCTCCTACAGCAGCGGTCGGGGCGGAGGAGGCCGGCGGAGCAGGCAGCGCCAGCAGATTCGACCCAACACCACCACCAACCCCACCAGCACCACCACACCACCGACACTACCAGAGCCCACCCCAACACTAGCAGCAGCGGAAGAGAGAGCCTGCTCCATATCCGCAGCCATCTTGCGGTGATGCGCCGAGATAATATTCCTTCTCACATCCGACACCCTGTGCTCTGTCTCCAACAAGCACCCCTCCAGCACGCTCGCCCGCTCCACCGCTGCTGCTAGCCGCATCTTCACCAGCCCCACTTCCGCCTTGGCTCGCGCTGCCTCCGCCTCTGCTGCCTCCCGCGCTGAGCTCTCCTCTACCAGTCGTGCCTCTAGCTCGCGCGCCCAGCTGCTCGCGCCGGCTGCTGCCGCCTCCATCTCTCTCGCTGCTGCTCTCAGCTCGTCTACTTGCTTCTCCAGCGCTTCTATCTCGTTAGAGCTCCTCTCTCCGCCCCCACTGCCAGCACCACCAGCAGTACCGCCACCAGCAGTCTTCGCACCAGCTCTGCTGCCACTGGTGCCGCTGCCGCGGCTGCCACTGCTGCTCTGCCGCTCCCCCAGCGACCCGCCGCCCTGCCTCGAAACCAACGCCAGCGCCTGGCCCCCTTCCCCATCCCCATCCCCTTCCCCACCCCCCACCCTCAATCAACCTCCCCTTCCCTCCACCCACCCCCCCCTGCGCCTTAATCGCAGCGAGCTCCAGCTTAAGCTCCTCATTATGCTGCATGGTGTGCATCACCTTAGCAGCCACCTCAGTGAACGCAGTGCGCGTCTGGCTCATATCCTCCTCCACCTGCTGCTTCTCCCTCTCCACCGCAGCCACCGCCTCGTCTAGCTCAGCTATTCTCTCCCGCGCCTCTGCCAGCTGCTGGCTCAGCTCGCCCGCCTCTGCTCCACCGCCACCAGCTCCTCGATCCGCCGCTGGGCTTCTGCCAGGCTGGCGTTTAACGAGGCTGTTGTCTCGCGCCACGTGTCCAGCTCGCCGCCCATGCTTGCCAACCTGGCCTGCGCCGCCGCCAGCTCAGCTTCGACCTCCCGCTGGGATCTCCCACCCTGAGTGCCCGACTCGCCTCCTCCTCCTCCCTCCTCTCTCTCTCCCGCTCTCCTCCTCTCCTCCTCCAGTTCCCTCTCCAGCCCCATCGCTCTCTCCCTCCAGCTCGCCACGTCACCCTCCACCTGCGCCACGCGCGCATTCGCCGCCTCCAGCTCAGCGCGGAACCGCTCCTTATCCGCCAGGCTGTCGGTGAGCTGGAGCACCATGTCCTCCACGGCTGCCAGCTCAGCATCCACAGCCTCGTTCTCAGCCCTCGCCTGCTCCAGGTCCCCCTGCAGCTGCGCTATCCGCTCCCTCGCCTCCTGCAGCGCCCACTCCATCTCCTGCACCTCCTCCTCCCGCTCCTGCTCCCGCCGCTCCGCCCGCTGCTCGGCCTCCTGCTGTGCCCTCTCTCCACCACCGCCTCCTCCTCTCCCCTCTCCTCCATCACCTCCTGCCCCACTCCCATCCCGTCCATCTCGCCCATCCTCCCCGCGCCCACTACTCTCCCCTCTCCCGCCACCCCCTCCCCAGCATTAATCACCTCCTCCAACTCCGCAGCTCTCGCAGCCGCCTCTTCAGCCAGCGCAGCAGCCACCTCAGCCGTCGCCTTGTGCTGCGCCGCCAGCTCCTCCGCATCCCTCACCCGCCTCACCGCGCCCTCCACCTCCTCCTCCACTCTCGCCTTCTCCTCACAAACCCTCCGCAACTCCCTCTCCACCTCCGCCCTCCCGTCCCGCTCCTCCTCCGCCTGCCGCTCCGCCTTGCGCCGCTCCTCCTCAGCAACGGCCAGTTCCCCCTGCAGGCGGGCAACAGTGGCGGAGAGAGCAGAGAGCTGCTCCTGCGTGTGCTGCACGCGGCGCTGCACGGCCTCCAGTTCATCCATGAGCCGCGCCGCGTTCTTCACGCTCACGTCGCGCTCCTCCTGCATGCCCTCGCGCTCCTCCCGCATCACCTCCCACTCCTCCCGCACGCGCTCCAGCTCGCCCTTGAGCGCGTCCCGCTCCTCCCGCACGCGCTGCACCACCTCTCGTGCAGCACCCTCCTCCGCCTCGCCCTCCTCCTGCTGCTGCTTCTGCTGCTTCTCTAGACCTGACATGAGTGTTTTCACCTGATCCCGCTCCTCCCTTGCCCACTCCCTCTCGTTCCTCGCTGCCTCGCACTCCTCCTTCAGCCTATCCCTCTCCTCCTTCACTCTCTCGCTCTCTTCCCTCACATTCGCCATCTCAATCTTAACCTCCTCGTTCTCCCCCCTCACTCTCTCGATCTCCTCCCTCGCTTGCTCATTCTCCTCCCTCACTCTCTCACTCTCTTCTCGCAGCCTCTCACACTCCTCTCCCAGCTTATCAAGCTCTTCTTTCACCCCTTCAATCTCCCCTCTCAGCCGCTCACACTCCTCCCTCACTCGCTCGCTCTCCCTCTGCCACCGCTCCTTCTCCTCATGCATCCTCTCACTCTCCTCACTCAGTCGCCCACACTCCTCCCTCAGCACCAACAACTCTTCCATCACCCGCTCCCTCTCCCTCTCCGCCTTCCCCCTCTCCTCCACCCCGCTCGATCTCTCTCCGTCACTACACGCTCCCTCTCCTCCTCCACACCCCTCGCAGCCTTCCCACTATCCGCCTCAAGCTCAGCCACTCGTGCCAGAAGCATCTCTCTACCCCGCACAGCCTCATCGCGCTCCTGCCTCACCGCCTCTCCTCCTTCCGCCACGCCTCCCTCTCCTCCACAAGAGCATCCCTCTCCCTCCGCGCCTCGTCCCTCTCCTCCCTCACCCCCTCCCACTCGCCTCTCTCCCCCTCCATTGCTATTTCCGCCGCCTCCTTCTCCGCCCTCATCCTCTCCCTCTCCCCCTCACTCTCCCACACTCCTCCCTCACTCTCCCACACTCCTCCCTCACTCTCTCACACTCCTTCTCCAGCCTCCGCACCTCCTCCCTCGCCGCATCCACCTCCCTCTGCGCGTCTCTCTGAGCGTCCCTCCGCACACTCCGCGCAACCTCACTCTCCCCCTCCTGAAGCGCAGCCACCATGCGCGTCAAGTGCGCCTTCTCCTCCTCCCGCTGCTCCACCGCCTCCCTCCACCGCTCCCTCTCCTCCTGCGCGCGTCCCAACTCACCGCTCACCCTCTCCACCTCCTCCTCCAATGCACGCCTCTCCTCCGCCCACTTCTCGCTCTCCCGCTCCCACTCCTCCGCCTTGCTCCTCCACTGCGCGCGCTCGCCCTCCCACTCCTGCCTCTCCCTGTTCAACACTTCCTTCACCTCCCTCACTCCCTCCTTCTCCCCTTCAACTCTCTCCCTCACTCTCATCAGTCCCTCCACCTCATCCCTGAGCCCGTCCCTCTCCTCCCTCACTCGCTCCCACTCCTCTCTCACCCTAGCAACCTCCTCCTCAAGCTTCTCCCTCTCTTCCTTCTCCCCCTTCACCCTCTCCCTTTCCTCCGCCTCCATTCTCCTCACTATCTCCCTCAGCTCCTCCCTCTCTTTCCCCGCACTCTCTCGCTCAACCCTCATCGCCTCCCACTCTTCTTTCAGCTGCTGAACCTCCTCCCTTAACTCATCCCTCTCTTCCATCACCGCTCTCAACCGCTCCTCCTCCTCCCCTCTCTCCCCACTAACTTCCGCCCTCACTCTCTCCCTCTCCCGTACAGCTGCCTCCACCTGCTCTTCCGCCTTCCGCCTCCCCTCCTCCGCCCTCTCCACCTCTCCCCGCAGCCTCTCCCCTTCCTCCTGCGCGCGCTGCAGCTCCACGCGCATGCTCTCCCACTCCGCCACCATCCTATCCCGCACGTCCGCCATCCCGTCGCGCTCCCCCTTGGCGCGCACAACCTCCTTCCGCGCCTCCTCCCGCTCCCCCTCCGCGCGCCTCACCATCTCCTCCAGCTCCGCGCACCTCTCCCCCAGCCGCGCCAACTCCTTCTCCGCCTCCCCTCTCCGCGCCTCCTCCTCCAATTCCCCCTCCCGCCTCACGCTCTCCCGCCTCTCCGCCTGCGCGCGCTCCTCCGCCTCCGCCTGCGCCCTCCGCGCCTCTATCTCCGCCTCCATCCGCCGCAGCTTCTCCCGCAGCTCCTCCGCGCCCCCCTCCGTCTCCTCATATACCGCCGCTTCCACTGCTCCACCTGTCCGCGCATCACCCGCAGCGTCGCGTCCCGCTCATCCCTCTCCGCGCCCGCCTCCTCCGCGCGCCTCCTCTCCGCTTTCAACTCCCCCTCCGCCTCCTCCCACCTCTTCCTCCACCCCTCCGCCTCCTCCCCCGCCGCCCTCACCTCCCCCTCCCGCACCCGTTCCTCCTCCCCTAACCTCCTCACTCTCTCCTCCATCCTCCTCCCCTCCACCTCCCTCTCCTCCCACCTCCGCCTCCACATCTCAACCTCCTCCCGCAACCCCCTTACCTCCGCACCACCATCCCCCTCCCCCCCGACACCCACCCCTCCTCTCCCCTCAAGCTCCTTCACCCTACCCGCCAGCCTCCGCTTCTCCGCCTCCGCCTCATCAGCCACATCCTTCAACCGCTGCATCTCCCTCTCTAAATCACTAATTAAAATCTGTCTGTCTTCCAGTACGACCTGCATGGCGTCCATCTCCGCGCTGGCTTCCGCCAGTTGCTCGTCCATGCCCTTGAGCCGCGCCTCCAGCTCCCCGTACTGCGCCTCCCACTCGCGCGTCTTCTCCGCGATCGCCTCCTGGATGCGCCGCGCCTGCTCCTCGCGCACGCGCCGCAGCTCGCGCATGCACTCCTGCGCGGGGGGGGGGGGACAGGGCAGGCGGGGGGAGGGGGTGGCGGGGCGTGGGTTTAAGGGCGGGGGGAGCGCGGAGGGCGGGTGAGACTTGACGGAAGCGGAGGCAGTCGGTAGGGGAAAGAAGGATAGAATGGGGGAGGATGGGAGAGGGAAAAGGGTGGGGAGGGAGGGATGCGGGACGAGGAAGGGTAGGAACGATGAAGTACACTCGCGGCAGCACTCGCGGAAGGGAAGTTGAGTTGACGGTGATGCGCTCGGGAAGCGCGACGAGCGCACGACAAGGGAGGGACGACTCGATGTGCACGACAGCAACGCAACGAGGCAGTATGGGCTAGCACCCTCGCACTCACCCACCTTGGAACGCACATGAGTGGAAAATGTGCAGAGCACAGCACCGCACAGCGCATCACAGCACCGCATCGCACAACGCAGCATGTTCCACGCATCACACGCTATTCCCATGCGCTTCGCCTCTGCCACTCACATCTTCGTCACAACCATCCATTCTCTGCCCGACTACCCTCTCCCACCTCGCCCTACGCCACTCCACGGCCCCCCTCACTTACTCAACCACCACCGTGCGACTCCCCTCCCTTCCCTTTCCCCTCCGCCTCCCCTTCCCCCATTGCCCGTGCGCCTGGCGCGCGACTGACCTTGAGCGCGGCCTCTTTGCGCGCGACCTTCTTCTCGATCGCGTCCCGCAGCTGCATCGCCTGCTCCACGTGCGCCCTCCCCGCTGACGACCCGCCGGCCCCCCGATCCCTCTCCCGCTCCCGCTCCCACCCCGCCGCTGGAAGCACCGCGATTGTTCGGCACCCGAAGTGAGAGGGCAGATGGGGCACGAGGGAGGGGGAGGGAAAGGGAGGGTGAGGGGTTCGTGTTGGGGATGTGGGGGGAGAAAGTGGAAAAGAAGCAGTAGACTCGACGCGACTCAAACGGCGATAAGCTAGTTCATTTCCTTTGAAAAGGAGGCGGGCGGCAGCGGTGGCGTGGAGACGGTGCGCTGCCATAGCGTTGATTCGTACAGCTGCCGAACCACTCGCCGCCGTGAAAAGCGGCGTGGGATCAGCTGAAGACACACGCCAGCCGCAGAAACTGCAGCTGCAACAGCACCAGCTTCGGTAACCCAGCTGCAATCGCGCATCTGATATGTTTCCTTACTGATTGTGTGCTTGACATTATACCCCGCTCTGGAACGCGTTTGGTGGTTCACGCCCGCCAGCAGGGCTCGTCACGGGTAGGGGCAAATCCGAGCATGAAAAAGGTTTCGCCAAAGCCCTACGCATCTCACCAACGCAAAACCTCTCCCTTCCTCTCAGCCACCACGCGCTCTCTAAGTCGACGCGAAAAAAAAAAAAAAAAAACTTATTTTTTGTTCGTTCATCCGCGCTGTAAGCTTTCGCGAGCAGCGCGCAGAAGCTGACCGTGAGGTGAGTAGAAAGATGTCGTAACGGACCGAGAAGAGACCGGGCATGAAGAGCGTGACTGGCGGAGACCGAGAAGCGTAGCTGGTGGTCCGCTCCTGGAAGGCGAGACCAGCACCACATCCGTCTTTCACGACTTTCCGACCAGCACGAACTAACACAAACGCACGCACCCAGGCACATGTTCTGACGGAGTCGCTCGCGCTCTCACGAGGCGTTTGCGCAGTCGCAGTCGCAGTCGCAGTCGCAGTCGGTCAGGCTCGTTCCGCAACGCGCCGCGACAAGGCGAAGCGCCCGCGTGGTCTGACGCAGATCGACTAACTTCTTACCCAAGATGAGTCGAGACGAGACGAGACGATACGAGACGAGACGATACGAGACGATACGAGACGAGACGAGACGGCGCTACTCGGTAAGGAGAGAGAGAGAGAGAGAGAGAGAGAGAGAGAGAGAGAGAGAGAGAGAGAGAGAGAGAGAGAGAGAGAGA